GCACAGAAATCTATTGCATTCCTATATACTAATGAAAAATCTGAAAGAGAAATTAAGGAAACACTCCCATTTACCATTGCAACAAAAAGAATAAAATACTTGGGAATAAACCTACCTAGGGAGACAAAAGACCTGTATGTAGAAAAATATAAGACACTGATGAAAGAAATTAAAGATGATACCAACAGATGGAGAGATATACCATGTTCTTGGATTGGAAGAATCAATATTGTGAAAATGACTATACTACCCAAAGCAATCTACAGGTTCAATGCAATCCCTATCAAATTACCAATGGCATTTTCTACAGAACTAGAACAAAAAATCTTAAAATTTGTATGGAGACACAAAAGACCCCAAATAGCCAAAGCAGTCTTGAGGGAAAAAAGAGGAGCTGGAGGAATCAGACTCCCTGACTTCAGACTATACTACAAAGCTACAGTAATCAAGACAATATGGTACTGGCACAAAAACAGAAATATAGGTCAATGGAACAAGATAGAAAGCCCAGAGATAAACCCGTGCACCAATGGTTGACTAATCTATGACAAAGGAGGCAAGGATATACAATGGAGAAAAGACAGTCTCTTCAATAAGTGGTGCTTGGAAAATTGGACAGCTACATGTAGAAGATTGAAATTAGAACACTCCCTAACACCATACACAAAAATAAACTCAAAATGGATTAGAGATCTAAATGTAAGATCAGACACTATAAAACTCTTAGAGGAAAACATAGGAAGAACACTCTGACATAAATCACAGCAAGATCTTTTTTGATACGTCTCTTAGAGTAATGGAAATAAAAACAGAAATAAACAAATGGGACCTAATGAAACTTAAAAGCTTTTGCACAACAAAGGAAACCATAAACAAGACGAAAAGACAGCCCTCAGAATGGGAGAAAATATTTGCAAACAAATCAATGGACAAAGGATTAATCTCTAAAATATATAAACAGCTCATGCAGCTCAATATTAAAAAAACAAACAACCCAATCCAAAAATGGGCAGAAGACCTAAATAGACATTTCTCCAAAGAAGACACACAGATGGCCATAAAGCCATGAAAAGCTGCTCAACATCACTAATTATTAGAGAAATGCAAATCAAAAGTACAATGAGGTATCACCTCACACCCGTTAGAATGGGCATCATCAGAAAATCTACAAACAACAAATGCTGGAGAGGGTGTGGAGAAAAGCGAACCCTCCTGCACTGTTGGTGGGAATGTAAATTGATACAGCCACTGTGGAGAACAGTATGGAGGTTCCTTAAAAAACTAAAAATAGAACTACCATATGACCCAGCAATCACACTACTGGGCATATACCCTGAGAAAACCATAATTCAAAAAGTGTCATGTACCAAAATGTTCATTGCAGCTCTATTTACAATAGCCTGGAGATGGAAGCAACCTAAGTGTCCATCATCGGATGAATGGATAAAGAAGATGTGGCACATATATACAATGGAATATTACTCAGCCATAAAAAGAAACAAAATTGGGTCATTTGTAGAGACGTGGATGGACCTAGAGACTGTCATACATAGTGAAGTAAGTCAGAAAGAGAAAAACAAATATCGTATATTAATGCATATATGTGGAACCTAGAAAAATGGTACAGATGAACCGTTTTGCAGGGCAGAAAGTGAGACACAGATGTAGAGAACAAACATGGACAGCAAGGGGGGAAAGCGGCGGGGGTGGTGGTGGTGGTGGTGGTGTGATGAATTGGGAGATTGGGATTGACATGTATACACTGATGTGTATAAAACGGATGACTAATAAGAACCTGCTGTATAAAAAAATTAAATTAAAAAAAAGAATCTGTACAGTATGTCATTGTATAAGGAAAGACAACTTGATCTGTAAGTTAGTATAAAGTACTCCATAACACAAATATGCTTAAAAACATCCAGAATTTGTCCAATTTCTCTCTGATAGTTAAATACCTGACTTTGAATATGATAATGTCAATACTTGTCAATCGTTGTTCTTATCTTGTTCTGCTTCAGGTATCAGAACTCAACTTTTAAGGTACAGAAGTTAGTTTGAAATGAGGAATGAAATAAAAACAATATTCTGAAGGTCTGTAGTAATAGCTTTAGAATTACCGCTGTATGAAAATATTTCATTTTTAATCTATGAGTGCCCCTTTATGAAAGAGAGTTTATAAAATAAGAGTGCTAAAAGGAATGTTGAGTTAGGATAGGCAATGACTCATAGGAAAGCCTATACTTGACATTTGCACCTGGTCATAATTATAAGGATCTGCTTAAGTATTTATTATGTTATCACTATGCATTATCAGCTCCTTTCATCAATAAAAACAAAGGAAATGCATAATAGCATAGCTCTGAAATCCTACCCATGCAAAACACTGAGCACTACATTTTAAAGCTGAAAATAATTCTCAGAAGTTCTGACAATTACTCTACATTAAAAAAAATTAATCTGGAGAATGCATGGACATTAAATATTTATATAAGAACAAGTGCGATTTTGATTAGTCTTCTAGTTCTTTCTTATCCCAAAGCATAAAAGACCCACGCTTCAACTTTGGGCTACAGAGGTAAGAGATACACAGCAGTGTTTCTAAAAGGCTAGGAACACTAAAAATGTATGGTGCCTGACATACAGAAGAGGCTCAGTTAACGGAATCAATGAAAGCATGACTAAACAGTGTCTTGCCCTTCTGACTATGAAACACTCATGAAACCTAGCATTCAACATAGTCCTGAAGGACTAACAAGTCCTGTATACCAAAATAATAAACTGACAAAGAGTTTTACAAAAGTAAGTAATTCAAGTTTATGCTTATGTATTGTGTACACAAAAGCTTGAATTGATATTTAGAGATTGCTATGACTCTGGGAAGAGTATTCCAAAATGGCCCTCAAAAGAAAGAATATGTAGCTTAAGATCCAGCTTAAAATTAAAATGATAAAATGTCCTGATTCTGTAATTCAGCATTAAAAAAAATTTTTTTAACAAAAATTAGAACTTGCTAATTCCTTTGTAATATGTGAATATTACTAAGACACACCTACCAATTAAATGCTTGTAAGGCAGTTGATGATCTCGAAGGTTCAGGTGGGCAATATGTCCAACTCTGCTAAACCCTGAAGTCACATCTTGACCTTCAGGAAGCACAGCTTTCAAGATTTCTTCTGACTTAAAATTTTCATAAGTTAGTTCCAAGTTATATTTAGATATCTGTGGATTGACATTCAGCTGCTTTAAAATACTGAGTTCTCCCTTCTCAAAGGAATAATCAGTAAACATTTTATAGGGATCCAACATAATTAGTCTACTTTCTTCATCTTCTGGATCTTCCATCACACGTTTTATGCCTGGGCGCTGCAGTGCTGCCCTTTTAAGGGATCGCATCAATTTATTGACTATTTCTTTCCTCACTTTAAGCACCGGGATGGTGATTGTCTTTTTAAAAGCTGTTCTATCAAGTTCTGTCATTCCTCGAACATCAGAGGGGGGTGAAAACAATTCAGAGTCTCTCTGATTTGTTTCTATTTCAGGCATGGTTGAGAATCTTTTTCTTTGATCCAACAAGAAAATACCAGGTGTTCTGCTAAGCTTCTGTATCAGTGATGCCCAAGCTAGTGGACTCAATGATTCTGCTTCAGTTATTCTACAGCTTTCCACTTTGAGAAGTCTTCTTGAGAATCCAAATGGCCTCCATAAGATCCTAAAAAAAGTATTAATTAAAAGAAATACCATAAAGTTACAAACTAAACATGTTCACAATAGGTCTTGAGGATAAAAATTTAAATTCACTACTGTTTTAAATAGCCTGCTAAATGCTGATAATTAAAACTTTTAGTGGTACGTGAGAAGTATACTATCTTTTCTAGGACAGGATGACTGGAAGATTTGAACCTTCAATCCACCTGCTGCCAGGACTAGGGCTTAGTGATCCGTCACCCTCCCTATAGTCAATAAACCTCCCCACCCACAATTTTCTACAGAACATGTTTGGGATTAGAAGGCTGAAGTTTAAGCTAAAGGATTATCTCTAAACGAAATGGTCACTATATTTACGATTTTACCAATGTCAATTTTTAAAAGGATATTCTTATGGATGCTTAATGGGTCAGATGTTGTACTAAACACTTTATGCACATTGTCAATCTTGGGAGGTGTGTGGTATCACATTCTCATCTTGTATACGAGTAAACTAAATCTCAGAAGTAGGTAAATTGACCCGAAGTCTCGTTGCTGTAAGTGGCTGAGCGAGGATTAAAATCCAGCGCCTGCGCTCTTAATCTATTTCAATGTCGTCTTCGATGTTTTACTGCCACAAGTACTGCCTATAACTAGAGGTTTCAGTATTTTGAGGACGAGAACTTTGCTAAGTGTTATATGCACATCCCAGTAGCAGTTCAGTATTTTGAGGACGAGAACTTTGCTCAGTGTTATATGCACATCCCAGTAGCCGTATCAGTTATTAATTTTGCCTTCTGGAATACCGAAGAAGTAATTGTCAGAAGAAAGGGCCCTGCCCGGGATCCCTGTAAAGCAGCTGTCAAAGTTCACAGTCAGGGTTCAAACTGGGTCTAGAAGTTAACCAGATGTGTGATCTTGGGTAAATTACTTATTGTGAGTCTCGTCTTTCCGCATGCAAAATGTGGCTAAAGGCTCTATCGGAAAGCTTTTGAAAAGATGAAACACTTCTCACTCCGCCGTACTCAGACCTAGGCTCCGCACCAGATGGTGGGTGACCTCGTGACGTTTCCGCGCCCAGAGAGCGCGAGCCCCGAGCGGACCCGTGCCGCCACCATACCCTCAGCCTCTTCGAACTATCAAGGGCACCGCGGCCGCCACCTCACCAACGTCACCATCTCATTTCTTTGCGTCGCCCAGCAGCTGGCTCCAAGACCAGACACTCACCTCATGCTCTGGTGCAGCTCGGAAACGGGTCGCCGGCGGGTGGGCGGGCCCTCGATGACACCATCAATGTTCGCCGCCGAGGGGCGAGCGTCATCAGATCACGTCGATTCCTCCTTTCTTCCCGGCCCTGGTGAGGTACGGGAAGCCGGAAGGGCCGGGAACATAGCTCCGCCTTTGGCGCGACTACCCGACGGGAGGGCTGGGGTAGTAACTTGTAGATGGACTGGGTAGTCGGCCAGTGAGCAGCATGGAGGCGCCCTGGGGGATCGTGGACGCTGAGCCCGGCTGGTTTGTCTCTGCCAGGCAGCCCGAAGAGGCGGAGGCGAAAGAGTTGAGCCCGTTGCTTAGCAACGTAAGTTCGCTCCACAAGCTTCCCGGCACTTCTCTGAAGTGCCTGCCAAATAAAACCCGGAAAAGAAAGGGGATGGCAAGGGGAGAGGGGAGAAGCTGAGGGCTTGGGGCCCAAAGGCAGCAGCCGAGATTCCGAGGAGATCTGGCGGAGTTCATGAATGTGATAGGAGCCTAAAGTGTCCTAGAAAGAGAAGCTGAAGTAAAGGTGCAGGCTCAGGTGGAAGAGGTGCAGCAGCGGGTGGAGGCTGGGGAGCCCACAGAGGAGCAGCCCCGCGGTTATGTAACTCACTGCTGTTTGTTAGTATCTTTGTCGGCATCTCGTTTCCTCCACTAGTCTTGTGAGCTTTTTGCAAGAGTCACAAGATTTTTCTTTTCTCGGCTTAGTCATTGGGGACCTGTAAACATCTTAATACAAAGATCCTTAACCGTAAAGGAGCGGAGGTGGCCTGGTAATAAGTATGTAGCACTTCCCTGGCCCTAAAGCCTGTGCAGTGGGAACTTCGGCTCTTTAACTCAATTCCCAGGGCAATAACAGTTTCTAGGACTTTGTTCCCGAATGCTATTTTAGGGGAGAGTGTTTTCTGGGGTGTATCCTCGCCAGAGCAATGTGAATTGCTTCTATTTATTATATCGTCATTGCATGGCATTCCTGACCATCCTTCCAGTTGGGCAGACTTAATTCATTGAGTGTATAAATAGAGATTAGTTTTGCAGTCCTACTAATTGGGGAGCAACAGTTGTCTGCAGCAGCTCAAGCTGACTCAGGGATTCAGTAATCACGTGATCTTGAGGACATCTGCCTGCTCTCTGTCCCCACCCCGTCTTACCCTATCTTCATCTTTTGCAGTCACAAGGTTGGTTAGTCATGGCTCTTCTTGAAGCCTACCGGGTCTCTGTGCAGGTGGCAATGATTTTCCCAGGAAACTAGGTTCCCGGAGCTGCACTAGTGAGTGGTGAGAAGGGAAGGAAAGGGAACCAGTGCTGGTTGAGCAGCTAGTATGTTACATGATGCCTGTGGTTTGTAAGAGACTTTCTCCATAACGTGTCAGTCATTTCTGAAGGAAATTTGAACTTCACCATTCAAACACTTTATTAAATTTGTGTGCTTACAGGAACTTCACAGACAGGGATCCCCAGGTGTTTCATTTGGTTTCTCAGTGTTTAATTTGATGAATGCCATCATAGGAAGTGGCATCCTTGGCTTAGCTTATGTTATGGCTCATACTGGTATCCTTGGATTTAGGTGAGTTTTTTTTCTTATTTTACTTATTTTTTTTTTCATTTTTATAGTACACTGAGAAGCAAAGAGATAGGCAGCAGAAGCTGGTATTATACAATTTCTAGTTATTTCTGGGGTTTTAGCATTTTCCTCTTACTCTTGTATTGTTGCTAGTCTGTAGCTTGGAGGGATGCTACATAATTTGTATTTTTCATCCAAAGTGTGGCTAATTTTAAAAAATGGAAACTTGATCCACACTTGTTTATAACCTTAAGAAGTGGCTTGTTTGTTGTGTCAAGTTGGCCAAAGTAAATCAAAGTTTATCAGCCATGCAGATTACTTATAAATAGCGATTTTGTGAGTGTAAATAAAGCACATGATTCTTTCATTTCTCTCCATCTCCTTCTCTCTTCCTACTTAGGTAGTCTTGTTTCACTTTCTGAGGCTAGACATGTATTCTGTGCTTATTCCTTCTCATCTTTTGAGACAGCTCATATGCCAGTTTTCCCAAGATAGAAGACATTCCTGTCTTTTCTGTGCTTCCATAGTACTCTATATATTTATTCTTTTGTTATAATATAATGATTTGTTTGCAAGTGAGTTTCCCCACTAAACCCTGAAATCCTTTAGGACTAGACTTTATCCTTAGCATCTAGCACCATGCTTAATAGAATGAATGAACAAGTTTGTTTTGTCAGTAGAAGCAGACCTATTTTTCTAGGAAATTTAAAATACATAGTCTCAAAAAAAATAAAAATAAAATACATAGTCTCATTTAGGTTCATTTTTGCCTTTATTTTGAAATTCTTGATTAGCAAACCAACTTGCTTTTATTATGGGATGTATTCACGGACTTCCATAGTTTTAAAACTTCAAAGCTATGTGTGACATCTTAGGCAAGACATAATCATGGGACTTATTTCTTAGTTCCCTTTGAAAAATCACATTTTATACTCCAGCGTCTTACACGCAGATGTATACCACTGAATGGGTGCTTGACGAATCATATCACAGTTTCCATTTGGTGATGCCAAACTGTTACTTTGTGAGGTCTCTGACATCAGTTTACAAGTGTACTTTCACCTCTCAGTTTTGCTACTTATTAACAAGTATTAAGTGGACTACAAAGATAGAATTTCTTCAACTTCGGGAGCACTTCACTGGGGACAGCTCTCTAGAAGTTTGTCCTGCCAGTACCTTCCTGAGAATAAGTAGGGGATTATTCATGCTGTTTCTTTTCATACTTTTGGCTAGAGGACCCCAATTATTACATTGCACATTTTTCAAATTGTGTCATTAGAAGTGTGTTAACTGTATTTTTTTGGTTTGGTTTGGTGAGTGTGTTTAATAGATGCTAGGAAATGCAGTGTTAATTCAAAATTATAGGGAGGTACACATCTTTGGAAGGGGAGGAATAAAGGAAAGAAAAAAGAAGACAATGAGATTTCACAACTGAAACTTCTCTCTAGACTTAACAATAGGAAAAATAGTTATAAAAGGGGTGTATTACAAGATAACTGAATGGCTAAACCAGCAGTCAGCAGACAAGAGCGCTAAAGAAGGAAATTCTTTTGTCGTTTTAAATAAACTTTGGTTTTTTTCTGAGTTTTATTTTAATATTTATTTATTTATTTTTGCTGTGTTGGGTCTTCTTTTAAATGCGTGGGCTTTCTCTAATTGCGGCAAGTGGGGGCCACTCCTCATCGCGGTGCGCGGGCCTCTCACTATCGCGGCCTCTTGTTGCAGAGCACAGGATCCAGATGCGCAGGCTCAGTAATTGTGGCTCACAGGGCTAGTTGCTCCGCAGCATGTGGGATCTTCCCAGACTGGGGCACGAACCCGTGTCCCCTGCATTGGCAGGCAGATTCTCAACCACTGCACCACCAGGGAAGCCCTGAGTTTTACTTTAAAAGCAGTACATATTCGTTTAAATAAAATTTGGTAAATATAGAAAGTATCTTCTTACCATAATCCAACTACTTAAAGACAGTCCCTGTGAGCATTTGAATGTGAAAAAAAAATGTTTTTTTAATAAGATACCATAAAAAAGAAATTTGGGGGGATTTGACCATGTGCTGTTTTATAGTTTAGTTTCTTGCTGCTGATAGTCGCTCTCCTGGCTTCTTACTCAGTTCATCTCCTGCTTAGTTTGTGTATTCAGAGAGGTGAGTAAAATGTTATGCTGATTCTTTTTTTTTGCGGTACGCGGGCCTCTCACTTTTGTGGCCTCTCCCGTTGCGGAGCACAGGCTCTGGACGCGCAGGCTCAGCAGCCATGGCTCACGGGCCCAGCCGCTCCGCAGCATGTGGGATCTTCGCGGACCGGGGCACGAACCCGTGTCCCCTGCTTCGGCAGGTGAAGTCTCAACCACTGCGCCACCAGGGAAAGCCCTATGCCGATTCATTTGATGAAGTAGCCCATTGTGATTATATCTATGTACATTGGATTGGCTGTCTCAAATCTCATATTTCCAGCGGACATACATTATTATTAGGTAGGATGGTTGAAATGGAGAATTTCAGAAGGTCAGGATATGTAGACCCAATCCTACAGGGGAATATCCAAGGACAGAATGGGAGGAGGAAACCAGCATTCTTCCCTGCCTTTCTCCACAACACATGACATAGTTTTCTGGGTTAGATTAGGGGAAGCACCTGAAAGGTGTTTAAAGAATCCAGACCTTGTGTTACGGGGCAGTAGACAGGTGTTCATGCTGGCCATCTTTCTTGTAGGGTGATCATCTCCTCGAGAACACCTTCCCAGATCTACTACTGCCATCTCTGCCCCCCTTATATGTGTATGAGTTTTTTCCATTTGAAACTTTATTATGCAATTCAGTCATTTATTGAATAAGTTCTTTTAAGTTGCAATAAATAAAAGTGTATGAATTACGGAACTGCTTTCATAAGGGTTTTCTTTTGGCATTAACAAATACTCTATGTTCATCAGTCCTGGTCTTTTTTTTTTCTTTTTGTAACATCTTTATTGGAGTATAATTGCTTTACAATGGTGTGTTAGTTTCTGCTTTATAACAAAGTGAATCAGTTATACATATAAATATGTTCTCATATCTCTTCCCTCTTGCGTCTCCCTCCCTCTGACCCTCCCTATCCCACCCCTCTAGGTGGTCACAAAGCACTGAGCTGATCTCCCTGTGCTATGAAGCTGCTTCCCAATACCTATCTATTTTATGTTTGGTAGTGTATATATGTCCATGCCACTCTCTCACTTTGTCACAGCTTACCCTTCCCCCACCCCATATCCTCAAGTCCATTCTCTAGTAGGTCTGTATCTTTATTCCCATCTTACCCCTAGGTTCTTCATGACATTTTTTTCTTTCTTAGATTCCATATATATGTGTTACCATACGGTATTTGTCTTAATCTTTCTGACTTACTTCACTCTGTATGACAGACTATAGGTCCATCCACCTCACTACAAATAACTCAATTTTGTTTCTTTTTATGGCTGAGTAATATTCCATTGTATATATGTGCCACATCTTCTTTATCCATTCATCCGATGATGGACACTTAGGTTGCTCCCATCTCCAGGCTATTGGAAATAGAGCTGCAATGAACATTTTGGTACATGACACTTTTTGAATTATGGTTTTCTCAGGGTATATGCCCAGTAGTGTGATTGCTGGGTCATATGGTAGTTCTATTTGTAGTTTTTTAAGGAACCTCCATACTGTTCTCCATAGTGGCTGTACCAATTCACATTCCCAACAGCAGTGCAAGAGTGTTTCCTTTTCTCCACACCCTCTCCAGCGTTTATTGTTTCTAGATTTTTTGATGATGGCCATTCTGACAGGTGTGAGATGATATCTCATTGTAGTTTTGATTTACATTTCTCTAATGATTAATGATGTTGACCATTCTTTCATGTGTTTGTTGGCAATCTGTATATCTTCTTTGGAGAAATGTCTATTTAGGTCTTCTGCCCATTTTTGGATTGGGTTGTTTATTTTTTTGTTATTGAGCTGCATGAGCTGCTTGTAAACTTTGGAGATTAATCCTTTGTAAGTTGCTTCCTTTGCAAATATTTTCTCCCATTCTGAGGGTTGTCTTTTGGTCTTGTTTATGATTTCATTTGCTGTGAAAAAGCTTTTAAGTTTCATTAGGTCCCATTTGTTTATTTTTGTTTTTATTTCCATTTCTCTAGGAGGTGGGTCAAAAAGGATCTTGCTGTGATTTATGTCATAGAGTGTTCTGCCTATGTTTTCCTCTAAGAGTTTGATAGTTTCTGGCCTTACATTTAGGTCTTTAATCCATTTTGAGCTTATTTTTGTGTATGGTGTTAGGGAGTGATCTAATCTCATACTTTTACATGTACCTGTCCAGTTTTCCCAGCACCACTTATTGAAGGGGCTGTCCTTTCTCCACTGTATATTCCTGCCACCTTTATCAAAGATAAGGTGACCATATGTGCATGGGTTTATCTCTGGGCTTTCTATCCTATTCCATTGATCTATCTTTCTGTTTTTGTGCCAGTACCATACTGTCTTGATTACTGTAGCTTTGTAGTATAGTCTGAAGTCAGGCAGCCTGATTCCTCCAGCTCCATTTTTTGTTCTCAAGATTGCTTTGGCTATTCGGGGTCTTTTGTGTTTCCATACAAATTGTGAAATTTTTTGTTCTAGTTCTGTGAAAAATGCCAGTGGTAGTTTGATAGGGATTGCATTGAATCTATAGATTGCTTTGGGAAGTAGAGTCATTTTCACAATGTTGATTCTTCCAATCCAAGAACATGGTATATCTCTCCATCTGTTTGTATCATCTTTAATTTCTTTCATCAGTGTCTTATAATTTTCTGCATACAGGTCTTTTGTCTCCTTAGGTAGGTTTATTCCTAGATATTTTATTCTTTTTGTTGCAATGGTAAATGGGAGTGTTTTCTTGATTTCACTTTCAGATTTTTCATCGTTAGTATATAGGAATGCCAGAGATTTCTGTGCATTAATTTTGTATCCTGCTACTTTACCAAATTCATTGATTAGCTCTAGTAGTTTTCTGGTAGCATCTTTAGGATTCTCTATGTATAGTATCATGTCATCTGCAAACAGTGACAGCTTTACTTCTTCTTTTCCGATTTGGATTCCTTTTATTTCCTTTTCTTCTCTGATTGCTGTGGCTAAAACTTCCAAAACTATGTTGAATAAGAGTGGTGAGAGTGGGCAACCTTGTCTTGTTCCTGATCTTAGTGGAATTGGTTTCAGTTTTTCACCATTGAGAATGATGTTGGCTGTGGGTTTCTCATATATGGCCTTTATTATGTTGAGAAAAGTTCTCTCTATACCTACTTTCTGCAGGGTTTTTTATCATACATGGGTGTTGAATTTTGTCAAAAGCTTTCTCTGCATCTATTGAGATGATCATATGGTTTTTCTCCTTCAGTTTGTTAATATGGTGTATCACATTGATTGATTTGAGTATACTGAAGAATCCTTGCATTCCTGGAATAAACCCCACTTGATCATGGTGTATGATCCTTTTAATGTGCTTTTGGATTCTGTTTGATAGTACTGTGTTGAGGATTTTTGCATCTGTGTTCATCAGTGATATTGGCCTGTAGTTTCCTTTCTTTGTGACATCTTTGTCTGGTTTTCGTGTCAGGGTGATGATGGCCTCGTAGAATGAGTTTGGGAGTGTTCCTCCCTCTGCTATGTTTTGGAAGAGTTTGAGAAGGATAGGTGTTAGCTCTTCTCTAAATGTTTGATAGAATTCGCCTGTGAAGCCATCTGGTCCTGGGCTTTTGTGTGTTGGAAGATTTTTAATCACAGTTTCAATATCAGTGCTTGTGATTGGTCTGTTCATATTTTCTGTTTCTTCCTGATTCAGTCTTGGCAGGTTGTGCATTTCTAAAGATTTGTCCATGTCTTCCAGGTTGTCCATTTTATTGGCATAGAGTTGCTTGTAGTAATCGCTCATGATCTTTTGTATTTCTGCAGTGTCAGTTGTTACTTCTCCTTTTTCATTTCTAATTCTATTGATTTGAGTCTTCTCCCTTTTTTTCTTGATGAGTCTAGCTAATGGTTTATCAATTTTGTTTATCTTCTCAAAGAACCAGCTTTTAGTTTTATTGATCTTCGCTATTGTTTCCTTCATTTCTTTTTCATTTATTTCTGATCTGATCTTTATGATTTCTTTCCTTCTGCTAACTTTGGGGATTTTTTGTTCTTTTTTCTCTAATTGCTTTAGGTACAAGGTTAGGATGTTTATTCGAGATGTTTCCTGTTTCCTAAGGTAGGATCGTATTGCTATAAACTTCCCTCTTAGAACTGCTTTTGCAGCATCCCATAGGTTTTGGGTCGTCGTGTCTCTATTGTCATTTGTTTTTAGGTATTTTTTGATTTCCTCTTTGATTTCTTCAGTGATCACTTCGTTATTAAGTAGTGTATTGTTTAGCCTCCATGTGTTTGTATTTTTTACAGATGTTTTTCCTGTAATTGATATCTAGTCTCATAGCATTGTGGTCGGAAAAGATACTTGATACAATTTCAATTTTCTTACATTTACCAAGGCTTGATTTGTGACCGAAGATATGATCTATCCTGGAGAATGTTCCATGAGCACTTGAGAAAAATGTGTATTCTGTTGTTTTTGAATGGGATGTCCTATAAATATCAATTAAGTCCATCTTGTTTAATGTATCATTTAAAGCTTGTGTTTCCTTATTTATTTTCATTTTGAATGATCTGTCCCTTGGTGAAAGTGGGGTGTTAAAGTCCCCTACTATGAATGTGTTACTGTCAATTTCCCCTTTTATGGCTGTTAGTATTTGCCTTATGTATTGAGGTGCTCCTATGTTGGGTGCATAAATATTTATAATTGTTATGTCTTCTTCTTGGATCAATCCCTTGATCATTACGTAGTGTCCTTCTTTGTCTTTTGTAATAGTCTTTATTTTAAAGTCTATTTTGTCTGATATGAGAATTGCTACTCCAGCTTTCTTTTGATTTCCATTTGCATGGAGTATCTTTTTCCATCCCCTCACTTTCAGTCTGTATGTGTTCCTATGTCTGAAGTGGGTCACTTGTAGACAGCCTATATATGCGTCTTGTTTTTGTATCCATTCAGCCAGCCTGTGTTTTTTGGTGGGAGCATTTAATCCATTTACATTTAAGGTTATTATCGATATGTACGTTCCTATTCCCATTTTC